CCCCCCCCATAGGGTTTCCGAGGAGCAGCTGGTGGGAACCGTCGACTTTGAAGTTCAAACCAACCTTGCTATCCAGTACTTTATCCTACATCTCCACACCAGGTAGTCTTTGCTGTTGTTAAATGCTGTCAAGTCGGTTACGACTCATAGTAACCCAGACTAGGGTTTCCGAGGAGCTACTGGTAAGCTTGAACATCTGAACTTGCAGTTCAAAACTACCTTGCAGTCCAGCGCATTAATTACAGGGCCACATCAGGACTCTACCATACTTAGTGGTGTAAACTCATTCATGAAGCTACCAGTCTCAAGACCAAAATTATTTTTTCACTAAATATATTCTTACTTCCTGGTGTGGTATGCTGTGGGATACGTGCTGGACTCCCAACCAGCAGCCACTCCTCAGAAACCCTATACAGGGTCGCTATAAGTCAGAACCGACTCGACAGCACTTAACAACAACGCAACTAGAATATGTTTCCCTTTTCTTTCTTCTAAATTTCTATGCTAGTTGTGTTGCTTTGCCTGTGAAATCATTTGTTTGTTGACCAACACTATGTTTTACTATCTGTAAAAAAATGCAGAATGTGGCCGTGGCTCCTGGGTCAGCTGACAGGGTTGCTAATGGAGAAGGGATGCCTGGAGAAGAGCAAACTGAAAACAAGGAAGACGATGATAAGGGCGGTGCTGTGAAGTTTGGATGGGTGAAAGGTGTGCTGGTGAGAAAGCTCCTATGTTTACAAAGATCAGTACTCTATTGGGCTCAGTGATCTTCTAGTGGGCTGTTTAAACAGGGCCTGTACACCATAGAGTTACAAAGTCGCCTGGGGTTTGCCCCAATATCACTTTGCCACTTTAATCTACAGGTAAGATGCATGCTAAATATCTGGGGTGTCATGCTGTTCATCCGCCTCTCTTGGATTGTTGGAGAAGCTGGAATCGGTAAGTGTTTTTCCCCTTCTAAATAATTTCCCATGTAAATTATAGACTCAGCTGAATGTGAGATGAGAGGCATGGAGGTAATTTATACCTGGGCTCTTTTTACTTGGTCTCTTTGACAATATTTGTCAGAGGGAAAAGGTAAAAAATTAACTCCTGTAAGACTGAAATTTTCCAGTTTGTCAACCAGGTGAATGCTCACGTTAATTATTTCAGCTTTGGAGAGTTTAAGTGTAACATTTTTAGATAACAGTACTCATATTTTGGGACACATTGACATTTATCCCTCATTTATCACAAAGCTATTTCCCTTGTGGGTATTGCCAAAAATTACTTAAAGAAAATTACTTGTAGTGAAAATGTGCTCTAATAAAAATGGCGAATTATTGAATGTTTTCCAAAGAACATAATTTTGTTACTTTCAGGTACCAGCAGTAAAGAAAATGAAGGTTAATTTTAAAGTATTGCCAGATACTTATATAAATTTTAAAATAATAGATTAAACAACTAATGCTAATTTTAAAAGCAGGAAATAGAAAATGTTGAAACTCTTGCATCATTATTTAATATTTTCAATACTGTGCCTTATTTAAAGTATTATTTCTCAATACAAGCCTTTTTAAAAATTAGGATACATTAGTAAACTTTATAAACAAATGTATTTTAATTTTATCAACGATTCTTATTTAATATGATAAAGATTACTGATGTTTCATGTTATATCTGTGCATGTGTCTTAGAAAATGCATGCAAGATTCAGATTTGGGGGAAGTCTTTTAAATCATTAGTATCAAGAATATTGATGTTCAGATGTGTTTTCAGTCACTGTTAAGTGCGGTCCAGTCAGTTCTGGCTCATAGGTTTCCAAGGAGGAGCTGATGGGTTTGAACCACTAACCTTGCTATTAGCAGTCCAGTGTTTATCCTACAGAGCTGCACCAGGACCCTTTCAGATGCTACTCTGGAATATATCTCAATTCACATTTAAGAGGTGTTTGGTCATAATTAAGACACTGAGGTGTCACTGTAGTATAGAAACACTACTCTGCGGACTGTAAGGCCAGCACTTCAAACCCACTAGTTACTCTGGGGGAGAAATAAGAGGCTTTTTGCTCCAAAAAAGATTTACAGCCTTAGAAATCCTTAGAGGGTTGCTGTGAGTCTCGACTCAGTGGCCATGGGTTTGGTTGGTCATAATTTATTGCCTGTGCTCCTCAAAACACATTATTCAGAGTCCTGAGAAGACTTAAGAGAGAAAGGGGTAAATTGTAAATGGAAAAACTGGAACCCATTCCCATCATATTTTTCCCATGTTTCGTGTTTGGTGACTGCTGTGTTCCTGACAAAGGGTGGCTTGCCGATTTTATGATGCATATCAAATGAATGCTTACAGCCGCAGGGTCCAAGATAAGTGTATGCTGTTCCATGGAAAATCTGCATCTTAATATTGCCAAGGTTTTGCTCCAGGGTTTCACGCAAAATTAGTTTTTTAAGGGCAGTTTAGTAACTTATTGAGATCATCAAGAGACATTACTTTGTTTGGAGGTGTGAGAGTAGCTAAGGGCGAGAGTAATTCTTTTTAATGCAACTTATTTAACATCCATATGTTTGGGCATAATCTGAACTTTAATCAGATCTTACATTATACTTTTCACAGTCAACCTAGTTTCATACTTACTGCAAAATAATAAAATATGTAGAAGCTTATACTCTATAACCTGTTTATTACTTTTGCAGGTGTTAGTGCTGTGTTATTAGGACCTTTTACTTACGTAGTCAACCATGAAGAAAGTAGTGGCCTACCTTTAAGAATGTCCAGTGATTTTTCTTTTGAATGGAAACTTAAAACAAAATTCTTCTTTTTAATCTTCACAAGGGAGGTTTTCGTGAGTAGTAGAAACTTACTATCACCCCTTCCTCCATTTACCTGGCTGTGCTTGAGCCTGATGCTGAATGGTTAACTGAGTCACCATCTGGGTCCCATTAGGTTCCCTCTATTGAGAAAGGAAAGAAACAGATACAAATATTTTTGTCTTGCTTTTGAGGTAGTCTGGGGAAGAAACCCAAATATATTTTCCAACCTCAATCCTGGGAATAATGCTAGAAGGAAGCTGGGGCCAGGAGTAACAGTAGCTACAGACTAGGGTAGCTATTTGGGGAACATGAGATTAGGCTGCTTGGTTCCCAAAACAAATGGTAGAACGAGCTTATCATGAAGTCGCCTAATTGTCCTTCTCTGTGTGTGTGACCTTGCAGCTGGGCAAGATGGTTTCCAATAAACTTAACCTTCAGGTAGGGAAGAAGGATGTGAAAAATACAGAAAGCGTTATGACCTAAAGCAAGTCGTTTGTTTAGGCTCCATGAGTTTCACATTCTTGTATAAAAATGTAGGGAGTAGAATTCATTCTTTCCCTATCAAATTCTCTGAAGATAAAGGAAAAGGACCTTGCTGAGCAGGCAGGCACAATTTGAGTTCGATCCAGGGGAGTTCTGTAGTCTTCAGACTATGGTGTGCATAAGAATGACCTGGGGCTTTATGGTAGAAAACTGTAGAATCCTGGGATCCAGTCTTAGAGATTTGAATTCTGGAGGACACCTCACTTTAAGTAATCACCCCAGGCATTTCCTGAGAAACTAATGAACCAAATGGTTGCTAAGCTGCCTCTTAACCCTAAACTTCTATGAAGATTGCAAGAGAGAAGCAAACTCCTTGCTGCTTAGAAAACTTTGTTCCAGCATTTCAAATGGAGTCCTGGTGTGATGCCAAAGGCTAAGCACTCAACCGCAAAGTCTGTTTGAACTGCAAGGTCAGTGGTTCAAATTCATCATCCGCTCCTGGAAAACCCTGTACAAGGTCATGTTGGAAACAACATGATGGCGATTAACAACAACAACAACACAGAAATGCATATGATACAAAAGAATAAACTAAAAGTTGTTGAGAAAAGAGACAAAGGGAAGGTAAGAATAGGGAAATAATATAACAGCTTTCCTGCTCTGAGATGTAAACTGCTAGAGGTTAGCTAAACCTTTGACAAGAAAGGTTCCTCAGAACAAAGCCAAGAACAAAATAGTGTGCGGATGCTGAAGAAAGATCACCTTTGGTGGCACAAGGGTATACCCACCTCAGTATTCCTTCATAAGATACAAGGAATGCCGCGAGACTGTGTCTTCCAGCACGTAGCTCTTCGGAGTCTAGAAAGGCACCCCACCCCCCCCAGACTGAAACTCAAAGGGAGCACATGAGCAGGCATGTAAGCTTGCTGATGACCACAGTGGACTACTGGTGAGTGGAAGAGTGGGAAAGGCAGCAGTGAAGACCTGGGGACACCTGAGCTTATGAACAAGGACATAGCCACAGAGGTCTAGAGCTGAGAATGCAGCATCCAGCTGATACGGATAGGGATGGGCAACTTAGACATTGGCTACCTAAAATGAGGGGGCGATAAAGGCATGAAGTGACTAGCTTACACGGTTTTAAGGGGGAGCTTAGTTTAATAGTGTATGGGGAAAGAAAGAGTCCCCACTGAATAGTTTTCATCTTGTCTAGGCTGGTCTGTTTAAAAGAGATGGGGATAAGATTCTTATGATTCAATAATGAGTAACTGTTATCCTGACTAATTGCCACTCTCACAGTTGTAATGGTAGAAGTTTTGTAACAAAAACAGGGGAGTGGTTAATCTTACAGTCCAGAAACAAAGGACCCTACGATGATCAAGGGAGAAGAGCACAAGTGGAAGGCAGGACCTTATCCAGAGAAGCAGCGACACCAGATATGGAGGCAGAGATGGGGACATGGAGAGAGGGTGTAGTGAGGACTCTAGATTCATGGGAAGAGAGGGACTGAGAGCTGGCGGCCAGGAGGCAAACTTGCAGAATGTGTCCTTTGGTGGTATAAATTATTATATATGCCTGAGTATTTAAAAAAAAAAAAGAAAGCTAAAATGAACAGAGAGAAACTTGTAACTGATGATACATGTTGTTGTTGTGAAGTGCCATCGAGTCATTTCTGACCCATAGCAACCCCGTATAGGGTTTCCGAGGAGCAGCTGGTGAGCTTGAACTGCCGACCTTGCAGTTCAAATGGCTTTGCAGTCTGGCGCTTAGCCCACAGCACCACAGATGGTACATAGAGGGGATTATAACCATTGTAATGAAACAAGGTGTATGATTTGTTGAATGTAAAACTGATGATCTGCCCCGAAAACTTTTACTCAATCCACAATAAAAACCTTAAAAAAAAAAAAAAAAGAGTCTAGAGAAACAAAAGTAGTATGGTTCAAGTTTACAGTTGGTGCCCCGCAGTTAACCTCTTCCCCAGTGCACTCCTGCTAGAATCTTTGTATCCTTGGGAACAGTCTCAATCCTATTTCTGTCTGTACCTGCCTTAACTCCCCTTCTCTCAGGGCATGGCTAGAAAGATCATGGCCTCTCTTGACAGGTCACCCTTCTATAATTCTTAGCATAAAAAACTGCCAAGAGCAATTACTGAACATCTACTTCATATAAGGAGCTCTGGTAGCGTAGTGGTTACGAATCAGGCTGCTAACCTCAAGGTCGGCAGTTCGAAACTACCAGTGGTTCCGTGGGAGAAAGATGAGGCTTTCTGCTCCCGTAAAGATTTACAGCTTCAGAAACCCTGTGCAGGGTCACTATGAGTTGGAACCGACTCCATAGTACTCAACAACAACAACAACAAATTCATATAGGATCTGGGCAGTACAGTTAAGTGTCCGACTATTATTAGCCAAAAGGTTGGGGTTTGAATCCAGTCAGAGGCACCTTCAGAGACAGGCCAGATGATTGCTTTTAAAAGGTCATTGCTGTCGACTCGGTTCCAGTTTGTAGTGACCCTGTGTAAGCTTTCTGAGGAGAGGCTGGTGACTTTGAACTGTTGTGCAGGACTGCAAATTCGGTTTGAACCACAAAGTTGGTGGTTCACACTCACCAGCTGCTCCTCAGAAACCCTATGCAGGGTCACTACGGGTCAGTCACTATGGTCAACTCTACAGTTAACAACAACACCTTGTGGCAAACAGACCTTATGGTTGAGAAGCTTATCTTACAGCACCACACCAATACTCCTTAAAAGGTCGTTTTGTTGTTGCTAATCCCAGCGAGTCAGTTCTGACCCATAGCAACCCTGTATAGGCTTGCCAAGGAGCAGCTGGTGAGCTTGAACCAGTGACCTTGTGGTTCAAACTGACTTTTCAGTCCAGCGCATTAGCCCACAGCACCACAACAGGACCCTAAAAAGTCATAGCCTTGAGAAAAAAAAAAAACCTGTGGGGCAATTTCTACTCTGCAGACATTGAGTTGTCATGAATAGTGATAGCTCAGCGGAAACTAGCAACACCACTTTTATGTAGAGCAGTCTACCAAACAGGCCAAGGCCAAAGCATTCTGGGATGGAGCCATGATATGTTCAGTGGCTCTTCAGTCCTCTCCCTCTCCCTTGAGTGCTGCTCTGCCTTTGTTGAAGAGGGTGTCCTCCTGGCTGCTTATTTTCTGAAGCTGAATACAGTCTTGCCTTCTTCTGAATTCTAGACATTACAACTATGTCCCTTTTATGAAGGTCCTTAGCTGGCACAAAACGGAGACCTGGTGGTACAGTAGTTAAGCGCTTGACTGCTTACCCAAAAGAAAGGTCAACCATTGGAACCCACGAGCTTGCTCTGTGGGAGAAAGATGAAGCAGTCTGCTTCAGTGAAGATTTATACCCTTAGAAACACTATTGGGGTGGGGGGGGCGGGTTTCTACTCCATCTTAATAGGGTTGCAATGAATCCGAATAGACTTGACAGTCACAAGTTTCATAGCTAGTGTAAATAGGTATGGTCAAAGGTGATGACTCAAACCTACGCAGTGATACCGAAGAAGAAAGGCTTGATAATCGACTTCTATTGTTAAGTACCATGGAGTTGGTTCCGGATCATAGCAACCCTGCAGAGTGTGAGGAGCAGCTGCTGGGGTTGAACCACCAAACTTTCAGTTAGCAGTCCCACAGTGCTGCATGAGGGCCCCCCAAAAATCTTACAGAGCAGTTCTACTCTGTAACACTCGGGGACATTGTGAGTCGAAATTGACACAATGACAACTAACAACCTTTTGTTATAACTCTGAACTGTCAACTCCTGGAGAGCAGCTGTTGTAATTTCATTTGATCTTTCCTTGCACTTCTTATATTATGTCATACCCAACCAGATGCAGTGAAACCTGTGGGAGCTGGAACTTGATCAGACTGCCTTGGTTTTCCAGGTCTCATAAGTCTTCTGCTTTTGACGGTGTGTTCCTGGTGTGGGGCTGTAGGGTAAACATTGGACTGCTAACCACAAGGTTGGTGATTCAAACCCACCAGCCACGCTTTAGAAACCCTTTACAGGGTTGCTATGAGCCAGAACGGACTTGGCAGCACTTAACAACGACAACAACAATCTTACCAGGTTTCTATCTCTTGTTTTAATGGAAAATATTTGAGTCTTCCTACTTTGACAGTTTCCACTTTACACAGGCTCTTACTTACACAGATGTTACTGTATGTAGAGGAGTCCTGGTGTGGCGCTGTGGTTTAAAGCACTGGATCACAGGGTTGGTTTGAACCACAAGGTCGGTGGTTCAAACTTATCAGCCGTTCCTTGGAAACTCTATACAAGGTGGCTATGGGTCAGAACTGACTCTAAAGCACTTAACAGCAACAACACCAACTGTGTATTGAATGTTTTTAATAGATAATAGTCATTTTGAGAAAGAACTCTGGTGGTATATTGGTTAAGCACTCAGCTGCTAACTAAAAGGTTGGTGGTTCAAACCCACCAGCTACTCCATGGGAGAAAGATGTAGCAATCTGTTTGCATAAAAGCTTACAGCCTTGAAAACCTTATGGGGCAATTCTCCTCTGTCACAAACGGTTGCTATGAGTTGAAATCAATCCGGCAGCATTTTTTAAAAGCTATTTGGGCATTTGTAGATTACCGTGTTCTATGCACTATGCTAGCCACTGAACACTTGCATTCTTTCTATTTCTGTTGCCATTTTTGGCTCGGAATATAAGCAATTTATCAGAGGTCACACAGCCAATAAACTGCGGAGTCTAGTGTAACTCAGTTTGATTCTTTCCACTTTACCCATCTGCCAGATGAAGAGTTTGCTAGATTGTATGTAATTTTTCACCCCTATGCAATCAAATGTGCATAAAAAGATAGTTACCTGGAAGGCTGAACATTTCATTTATAATTATATTAGCAGTGTGGAATTGTATAGACTAGTTATTAGGTTTATAGCTATCTCAAACTTCATAAAAATGAGGTTCGTATTAAATCTTGACCAGCCAAGGTTGTTCTGTTGTGTACAACTTAGCACTGCATAGCTCAGTCTCTAGAGTGTGTTGCATCCTGCTACTACTGTCAGACAGGAAACTAAAACTAAGCACTTGCTCTGGAGTGATTTCCAGACTAACCTGCTACACTCAAATGTGGTTCTATGGTGATGCTTTATGTAAAGGACCTAATGGATTGTTGCACCATTTAATTGCCTTTATTTTTCCTCTCTCCACTGAGGTCTTGGTGTGATTATCATTGGCTTAGCTGTGACAGTGACTGCTATCACTGGTTTATCCACCTCTGCTATTGCCACAAATGGATATGTCAGAGGAGGTAATTAAACTTGTGACCTGCACAATTATTTGTACGGTAAAGGCAACACAAGCTCAAATAGTTCACCACTGACCTTTCTGGAGTGTTTCAAAGGTAATCTGAGTTAGTTCCAGTTGTTTTTTTGTGTGTGTGTCTTTTCCAGGCAAAGAGAGATGCAAGAAAAACGGGGAAGAATTTAACCTTTGTCAGACTCCTAATTTTCTCATTCAGGTTCCTCTAGAGTACAAGAGAAGGTCAAATGCCATGTTTTCTCTTTTCAAAGCCAGGGTAGTGTCTCTCCCAGGACACCAGCATCAGTCAACTTTTCCTTTCCAGAGCTGCAGTTTAGGTTGTGTTTCCATTGTGAAATCGTCCTTCATCATTATGAGTTCTCGGACTTGATCTCTATGTCAGGCATGCCAGTTTCTCCTTAGCCCAAAGGAGCCCCATTGGGAGCCAAGGATTGGATGTGGAAACAAAAATGAAAGTTAGTGTACTTTGCAGCAATAGAGAATACAAGGAAGAGTAGTAAAATATAACCTCTTCTGTCTTTCATTGCTAACAGGTCTTGGAGTTCTCATAATTCTTCTTTCCACCATGGTAACTTCTATTACTGGGTTGTCAACTTCTGCAATAGCAACTAACGGGTTTGTTCGTGGAGGTAAAATCTCTAAGATATCTCATGCCCTCATCATTTGCTACGGGTAGGCAAAAACTTTTTATAAACTTCTCTTTGACGGGAACAAGGAAGTAGCCTGACGTTCTTGAAGGCTGTCTAACTATTTGGATGAAGTGAGTATAGTTCAGTCCCACTGCAGTCAGCACTGGTTGTTTCTAACAAACTTCTCTGGTGGATTTCAGGTCACGATTTCCTGGTGCTGGAATTCCTTGGGTTAGTATTGTATTTTTAAACCTACTCTGCACACCTCTGGCTGGTGTTCCTTTGGAAATGATTCCAGGACAATCACTTCAGTTTTAAAGTTTAGTACATTTCAGGTGTGTCCTAGACTGTCATGGAATGGAGATGTTTAGAACATTACAGGTCCTTCCTGAGGAGGCTGATCCTTCCATGACGAGATTTGGACTGACGTCTCTTCAAGTACTGGCAACTTCTCTCAGTACTGGAGCCAAATGCTTTTCTTGGGGGGTTTTGCAGGTCTCGGAGTCATCATCATTGGCCTGAGTGTGGTAGTGACAACACTAACAGGTATTTCTATGTCTGCTATTTGCACAAATGGAGTAGTAAGAGGAGGTAAGTCCATTAACTTATTTATGATGGGAAGTTTTTGATTATGTAGCAATATCTAGAGTTGATTTTATATTGGAAGTGAAATCTGAATGCAGCTAATTAGTCCCCAAAGTCTCAAAAGAAAAGAAAAAAAAAAAGGAAATGCAAATTTAAATAGTAGGACCAAAGTCTTCTCCACTATAATTAAAAGATTCCCTAGAACTGACTTATTTGACCTATTTCTTGTGATTAAACATGTATATTAAGTGAAGGGTGGTGAACAGGTATCTAATAAGAAGGCATAGTGTATTTCAATAAAATATATAGTTTTCCCCTGCCTTGAATTGAGCTCTTCAGGCTTCCTTCTAATTCCCCTCAACATGTCTTCTCCAGTGGCCCACAGACAATCCCCACTCAGTAAACCACCCCTGTGCCTACCTTCCTCTTGGGGAGATTCACTCCACATCTCCCCCAAGGACCAACGATAGTCACCCAGGAATAGGCAGAAAATGAAATAGGTGAAACTTATAACTGTTCTAATTTCCTTTATTCCCCCCTCACTGCCTTTTTGAGCTACCGCTGTGCCTGTTAATGAGGTCCCCCTACTTGGGGACGTACACACAATCTGACCCACCTTGCATCTCCTGCCCCAATTCCTGTCTTGTCTCTCATTTTGAACAAGCCTAAATTACCGGCTAGCTAATCTGTATAAAAGGGATAATAGAGACCTTTCCTATCCAGATCATTTGTTAACATAGATTTATAGAGAGGATTTTATCCCTTAACTAAAAGGAGTTACTCTAGCAGAAGAAATTCCATTTTGGTAAAAGAACATTTCGGGATGGTTCTACGTACTGGGCAGGGGGCTTCAGAAAAATTGTGGGAAAAATGGAATGAAAAGATAATGGAAATATTTCCATAATTTTTTTAAGCCCTCTTTTCCTTGTCAACTCTGTCTAGCTCTAAAACTAGCTTAGTTTTAGGAGATCATTGATTTACTGGGACAATCAAGGAACCCTGGCAGTGCAGTGGTTACAAGCTTGGCTGTTAACCAAAAGGTCATCTGGTGATCGGTTCACATAAAGATTGTTGTTGCTGTTGTTAAGTACCATACAGTCAGTTCCAACTCATAACGACACTGTAGGGTTTCAAGGAGTGGCTGGTGAGTTTGAACAGCCAACCTTGTGATTCAAATAGCCCTGCGGTCCAGTGTTTATCCTACAGTGCCATAACCGTATGGGACAGTCTGCTCTGTCACATGGCATCACTATGAGTCAAGAGCATCTTGGTTGTACCTAACAACCTCAACAACTGTGATAATCAGGTCTCTGATTATTTTGTTATTCTTTTTCCTTCAGTAATTTGCTTTCCTTCTGAGCTAGTGCAGCCTGTTTCTTTTTCTCATGTGTATAGAAATATACAACCAGGAATAAGACAAAGGAGAAGCAACTGTCCCAAGTCTTCCCTGCTTTTCTTGCTACTTTCAACCTATGACACAATATGATTCTTAACAAGAATCATGCCTTCTTGTGCTAAAATTTTGGAAAGCCAAGACTTATTTGTAGAATAGATAAGGACACAGCATTATACAGATACACTGTTTTATATAGGAAACATATACCAGAAACATACCTCTGTTTTTCTTCCAGAATGGGAAAAAAGGAAGTCAGCACAGCAATGATAAACCACACCCACCTGATTTTCTGCCTAGATATGTCTGCTCTTATACATTTTGCATATAATTTTTTTTTCTTTAGTTGCATTGTTGACTTGAACTCTCAGATTATTACTTTGAAAAGACTGTTTTTATAAATGTGTTGTTTCTCATTTGTAGCATTTGTATACATTAAGTCTCAGGTTTGGATTTTATTAAGTCCGAATACTTCTATTGTAAATTATATATAGAACACAGGAAGGGCTAGGCAATTCATTAAGGTAACATGAGATTCCTAAAATTATTAGAAAGTTGTAATATTAATTATTGACATTGGAATTATTAATATTTCAAATGTTCTCAGAATTTCAATATCATTTGATGACCAAAACTAAACTCCTTAACAATTCTTCAGTGTAAAGCATGTTTATTTCTTCTTTCAGGTGGGGCCTACTATCTTATTTCCAGAAGCTTAGGGCCTGAGTTTGGTGGGTCTATCGGTTTGATCTTTGCTTTTGCCAATGCAGTGGCTGTTGCTATGTACGTGGTAGGATTTGCTGAGACAGTGGTGGATCTTCTTAAGGTAATTAAAAGCTTTTGTGTTTTTTTTTCAGTCAAGCGATATGATTCAGTTCAGCTTGCTTTTTCAGGACACTAGAGGATGTGCGTATGATAAGATGAGAGGAAATGGATTTATTTTAGAATTACACTAATATAGTAAAAGGAACATAGGACTTGGCATCAGAAAATTAGGATTGTGTCTGCCTTGGACATTTACCAGCTGACAGGGTTTGGACCAGGTGTGGTGCTGCGGGTTAATGTGTTGGACTGTAAGGTTGGTTTGAAACACAAGGTAGGCGGTTCAAGCTCACGAGCTGCTCCTTGGAAACCCTATACAGGGTCTCTATGAGTCAGAATCAACTTGACGGCACTTAACAACAACAACAATCTACCTATATGAGCCCTGGTTTCTGAGTCTACAGCAATTGTGATAATAATATCATTCTCTTTTTTAAATACAGAAACATGTTGCTATTGTTAAGTGCCGTCAAGTCAGTTTCAACTCATAGACACCCCCATATAGGTTTTCCGAAGCTATAAATCTTTGCATAAGCAGAAAGCCTCATCTCCCGAGGAGTGGCTGGTGGGCTTGAACTGTTAATCTTGTAATTTCCAGTCCAGTATTTATCCTACAGAGTCCAGTGCTCCCCATAGAAACATAGTACATATCAAATGAAATAATGTCCATGAAATATTTTTAAAATACAAAGCATCAGATAAATAGTAGGGATTATTTATTATCAACAGTAATGATATTGTCATGATTATAGTTTTCTAAAGAGAAAGAAAGGCCAAACATTAGAATAACTTACTACAGAAGACTAGGCATTTCCTAGTTTATATACACAGTCTAGAACGGTTATACCAAGTAGGTTTATTGACTGGTATATGAAATAATTTCTAGTTTTCCTATCATGGGAAGCAGTGACTCAATTCAATTAGCAAAAATACTTATATTTGAAAATTAGACAGTGTATTATGTAACTCAAGTGGTATACTATCTTCAAAAGATGCATCATTTTTTTTTGTGGTTTATTCTTTAATTGAAGAACACTTCTTTTCCAATATTTGTATATTGGAAGCCACTTACTTTTATTCCTCTAGGTTTACCCCTGACACACAAATATAGCAAGTCATTCTTCTGAAACAAACCATAGTATGTGTGTGTATACATACCTTTACTTAGTGTAACAATAGCTTCGAGATCTGTCACTGTAGTAAACACTGAAATTTCCAACCCCACCCTTGACTATCAAAGGTCTGTTATAAAAGAAAAAAGTAATAATAGCTTTCTTATCTTCTCAAGTTTACAATCATTTCTGTTTTCAGCTGTTCTATATGAAGTCCTGGTGTGGCACTGTAGGATAAGCACAGGGCTGCTAACAACAAGGTTGGCAGTTCAGACTCACCAGCTGCTTCTTGGAAACTCTATACAGGGTTGCTATGAGTCAGAACTGACTTGATGGCACTTAACAATATATGACTCTAGACATCAGTGCACACACACACACACACACACACACTATATATATATACGTAAATAGTAATCAAATGTTCACAATAGATTTATTCATAATAGCCAAAAATTGATAACTTAAGTGGCTATTAACTGTGCTATATCGATATAATATATAATACTAAATAATACAAAAGAAGAAGCTACTGTTAAATGAACCATTTGAAGAATCTCAAAAGCATCAGACAAAATGATTTAAAGATACACACAAAAGACTGAATACTTTAATACTCTACTTATATGATATCTTAGAAAACACAAAATTGTAGTAACAGAAAATGTATCAGTGGTTTCAAGAATCAGAGTGGAGAAGGCAAAGTCTTTACTGCAAAAAGGCAAAAAAAACTTAAAAAAACCTTTTTAAGGTAATAAAAATATTTTAAGCCATTGTTGTGGTAGTGTTGGTAGATGATGCACAGCTGTATACATATGGTATACATATTTTTAATAAATTAAATGCTAGGATAAAGGATAAAAACTGGACTGCAAATACATTTTTTAAATAAATGCTACAAGAAGATATACGTGGAAAAAAAAAAAGGCCCTAATCATTTTGGTGTGTTTTGTTCTATTCTGTTACCGCCCCCCACTTCCAGGAGAGTGATTCATTGATGGTGGATCCTACCAATGACATCCGGATAATAGGCTCCATCACAGTCGTGGTTCTTTTAGGAATTTCAGTAGCTGGAATGGAATGGGAAGCAAAGGTGAATTTCTCAGAATGATGTTATCAACAACAGCTGGTCAGGTCCTGAACAAATTACAGTGGAGAGAGAAAAATGGAAGGAACCCTATATTCAAAAAGAATTACAGTTATTACTTGCTATGGTTTAAGAAGTACTGTAATGTGAAGTGGATCACGAAGTCCTCGAAGCATGAGCTTCTGGGCAGTCATGACCCAGCACGTGTCACATGACCACACCTACAACACTTTGCTCTTCTCTGTGCAGTCATCGCAGTGACACAGCCACCAAGGTTGCTGCCACCTTCACACAAAGACCACTTACAGTCACAGCAATGGCCCATGCTGAAAACCCATCTTTCAGTCACACCCCTGCCACCCCTTTCAAACTGACTGTGGGTGCTGACACCCAAAAGAAATGGCAAGCATGTTAGGATGAAAGAAATAGAGACAACAACTGTTTATTATTCTCCTCATAAAACCCAGTATTTCAGGACAAATTTGAGAACATATAGGCCCTGGAGCTAGAGAATAATATCTAAGTTTAACTAGTTGTGGTAAAAAGGAGAGCAAGTTTTCTGCATGATGGGAACCATGGCTTTTGCCTCTTTTGTAACTTGGTACAGTGACGGGTGCAAGACACAGTGACTAGATCTCAAGTGGTCACCAGAAGCCAAAAAGTGACCAATGCCTTTCCCTATATAAGCCATAGGAAACATTGCTTGTTGTTGTTGTTAAGTGCCATCGAGTCGGTTCCGACCCATAGCGACCCTGTACAGGGTTTCCAAGGGTGTAAATCTTTACGGGAGTAGAAAGCCTCATCTTTCTCCCGCGGAGCGGCTGGTAGTTTCGAACCGCTGACCTTACGGTTCGCAGCCCAATTCGTAACCACTACGCTACCAGAGCTCATCTTTACCCCACTACACTCGGACCAGCCAGGAAACATTGCTACATGACATTTATTTATGGACTAGGTAGTCGAACTCAAACAAAAACAAAACTTGATGAAGTGTCTACCAATGTCCAGGCATTCCGCTCATCACTTGGTGTTCAGTTTTCATGAAAACAAACACAATCTCTGACCTTACGGAGCACATAGTCGAGTGGAAGATGAGTAATAAACAGGTACATAAACAAATGTAGATTGGTAAATTGTGATGTGCTATAAAATAAACAGGCCAGAGTATTGATAAAGAAATGATCAGGGGGAAGGGTTTGCTTAGTTTACTCTCTGGTTGTCATTGTTAAGTGCCTTCAAGTAGTTCTGACTTATAACAACCCTGTATTGGAGCTCTGGTAGAGTAGTGGTTACGAATTGGGCTGTGAACCTTAAGGTCAGCGGTTCGAAACTACCAGCCGCTCCGCGGGAGAAAGATGAGGCTTTCTACTCCTGTAAGGATTTACACCCTCGGAAACCCTGTTACAGGGTCGCTATGGGTCGGAACTGACTCAACGGCACTTAACAACAACAATTGGGTTTCCAAGGAGTGGCTGGTGAGCTTGAACCGCTGACCTTGAGATTCAAACTAACCTTGCAGTCTAGCGTATTAACCCACAGCACCACACACAGCACATAACAACAACAACCACACACCAGGAGTCCAGGGCAGCAGTATAGTTTGGTGGGACTAGAGTGTGGTATTTAAATTTGCCAAGGTGTAGTGGGACTTCCTGAATTTGACTCTGATTTATACCTATGTGACCTTAACCTCTCTGCCACTTAGTTTCCTTATCTTTCAAATGTGGATAATAATACTACTTCCTAGGGTTGGTGGTGGCATTTACTTGAAAGACTATAGGTAATATTTTAAATTAGAATCTATATTATAAGCCTTCACTGAGCCTTGTTGCAGTTAAATACCGTTGAGTAGGTTCCAATTCAGTGACCTTGTATAGTTTCTGAGCCTGTAAATTTTTGCAAGAGCAGAAAGCCGTATCTTTCTCTTAAAGAGCTGTTGGTGCATTCAAACCACCACCCTTGTAGTTAGCAGTTCAGTGTTTATCCATAGCTATTAATATTTAGATTAGCTCATAAAGAAAGGCCTCTCTGAGGACGTAACAGAGATGTCAAGAATACGGAAGGCAATAGTTGTGCAAAAAGCAGGGAGAAATGCATTTTAGACAAAAGGAACAGCACCATGGAGTGTCAAAGCAGTAAACATCTTGGCACGTTGCACATATTGAAGAAAGATCGCTAGCATGGTCAACACTGCAGACTTCTTGTGCTGGACACACACTAGCAGCCTAACATCACATGTACTGGGCACACCCTTGGAGTTCAGTGACTCATTCTGTGTTCTCATACCCCTTTCTTCAGTTGAAGGAAGAACCCATAGGTACTTTGCCCAAAAAAGAACTCGACTCTGTAAGTTTTAAAACTTTGGATTCCATTTACATTCCTGAGGTCCCTGTGGTAGTTGCCCACCCACTGCTTGAAATGTTCTTAAATGTCACTTGCTAGTACCTAAGCACATGCGCCCATTGAAAATGCAATATCTGCACCCACATAGAATGAGACTTATTAAAATGCCATCCTATATAGATATTCTTATTACCTACTTTGGATACCAGAATCTAAACTGGAATAATGAAAGGTTTTCTCAAGTAGACATGTATAATTTTTTATAATTAGATGACAATTTGATAAGTAAATCTAACCTGGCAACCTTTTATTTTGCTCTTGCAGGCTCAAGTGATTCTTCTAATCATTCTTCTTATTGCTATTGTAAATTTCTTCATTGGAACTGTAATTCCATCCAACCATGAGAAGAAATCGAGGGGCTTCTTTAATTACCAAGGTAACTGTGAAAAATTGTTTGCTTTACAATGAATGATTCCATTGTTTCTCATAACCCCTACCTTAAAGTCATCCAGGGAATAGCATGGACTTCCATGCAAGTTGAGACCCAGGGTTGGGTGTCAATCCTGCCACTGACCTGCTGAACCTAACTTATTTTTATCTTAGAATTCTCCTGCTAAAGTGTGGGTGATAATAATACCTTCCTGAGGGAATTTTGAGCATCAAATAAGATAATGGCTATTAAAGCCCTTTGTAAGCCTTCAAGTGCTAGACAAATTGTTGTCGCTGTCAAATAGTAGAAATAAAGAGTGGATGCAGGGAAGGGTGCATAGCTTGAAAAATTTGTTCAATCATTGCAGCTAAAGTCATTTTTATTCTTTCTGCTAGGTTTTTGTTGTTGTTGTTCCTTTCTTTCTTATAGCATTGCCTAGTTAAGCATCACTGTCAAGTTTTCAAGCACAAAAGACTGAAAATTACGTAATGCAGCATATTGTGGTAACTTCAATGCAGGAACATCGGCTTCTTTCTCTTCCGTTTTACCCACTTATCCAATCCTTCCCAGCTCTATTCTCTAGTGTTTTTAAGAGTCCACTTGTTGAGCTTACATTTAATAATCCTCTTCATGATTTACTCATTTGTCAGTATTTGTTTCCTTTTTATATCACATCATCTCTTTCTTCTTCATTCTTTTTTAAAAGTGTCCTCCAATTGCATGTTAATATCTTTTTGCTTTATGTTCTTCTCCCTCTTTCCAACACTTGCTATAGTTTTTTTTCTGATCTCTTAAACATTCTTTCCTTATTTGGCATCTCAGATTCTTTAACTCATATCTGTCTTCCTTTTCTTTTCTTTCTTCCTGTTCTCTTCTGTTTTTCTTCTAGATTGTTTCCTTTCACCTAAGTAATATGGTGGCAACCAGCAGTTTAAGAAAGGAGCTTTGGTTGTTGTTGTTGTTGTTAAGTGCCATCGAGTCGGTTCCGACCCATAGCGACCCTGTACAGGGTTTCCGAGGGTGTAAATCCTTACAGGAGTAGAAAGCCTCATCTTTCTCCCGCAGAGCAGCTGGTAGTTTCAAACCGCTGACCTTAAGGTTCGCGTAGTGGTTATGAGTCGGGATGCTAATGTCATGGTCAGCAGTTTGAAACTATCAACTGTTCCGCAGGAGAAGGATGAGGCTTTCTGCTCCCGTAAACCCTGTATAGGGTCTCCATGATTCGGAACTGACTCCACAGCACACTACCACCACCAGCAGTTTGAGAACTAACCTGCATTATTTTACAACCAAATCACCTCATTATAATATTCCCTGATTCATAAGAATTTGGTAATAGGATCTCAGATCCAGTTTCTGGGTCCAGGGTGAGTTTGGGGGGAAGCTGAGTAACATAAGCAACAAACTTTTAAGGCATTCCTCACCCAGAAATTTCTCTTATGATTAGAAAAACAAATAGTAAAACAGTGTGAGAGAATGTGGGGAGAGGAGAGGGGAGGAAAAGAAGCATGTGTTTGGTATATTTGTGAGTATGTCAGCATAGTCTTGAGAGAATTCTCTATCAAAGATTATGGATTTATTTATTTAGAGCTGGTGCGTTGTGGTATGATAAGCACTGGAAGGATGGTGGTTCAAAGCCACCTTCAGTTCCCTGGAATATTCCTTATACAGAGTTGCTATGAGTTGAACTGACTCCATGGCCCTTAGCAACATCAAAAACATGTCCTATTGTGGTGGTTGTGTGCCATCAACTCATAGCAACTTTTGACTCACAGCAACCCTGTATAGGGTTTCTGAGGCTTTAAATGTTTGAGGGAGCAGACAGCTTCATGTTTCTCCTGTGGAGTGGCTAGTGGGCTCAAACCAGCAACCTTGTGGTTTGCAGTCCAGTGTGTATCTTACTAAGCTCCCAAAACATGTCCTAGAGAACTAAAGTCTTATGATTTCTCTTTTAACTGTAGGCAGATATTCACATGATGTTCATCAGATGTGCACCAAGACCTCCAGTTCATTCCATTTAGAATACAGGGACACATTTGTATTTAAGATTATAGAAGCTAATGCTTACTTTTTTTCCTGTGAAGAAAATCTACACCTGATTTTCTCATTGTTTGTATTGCAGCATCAATATTTGCAGAAAACTTTGGACCAAGTTTCACAAAGGGAGAGGGCTTCTTCTCTGTCTTTGCCATTTTTTTCCCAGCAGCCACTGGGATCTTAGCTGGTGCCAACATCTCAGGAGACTTGGAGGTATGTGGTTTCCTCCACTTTGGTGTCCTGGCCATGGGGTTGATGAGCAGCGCAAGTTGCTATAGAGACTGAAAGTGATCGTGTTTCTCAACTTATTTCTCAACTACAATCACTTATTGCTGTGGTTAGGTTCCAAAGACGAGGCCATTATGCAAAAGAAAAGGTGTTATGCAAAAATGGAGGATGACCATGTCAGGTAACAAAATGGAAGGTGATGACATCATAACAAAACTGCCAAACCACTTGCCCAGACAAGTTGACACATAGCCTTAACATCACAATCCATGTTACTCTAACCTAGCACCTTGGCATTCATTACTCCAAAAATAGTTGCATAGTAGATTTTCCACTATTGTCAGAAATGTGAAATGTGGATAACAAGATGTAAGTGATGTATAAGTGGATAAGATTTTTGCAAGATTTTCTGTTCATAAAAATAAGTTCTCATTTTTAATGGCAAATTTAAGTATTAATGGCCTATTCCAGATAGTTCTTCCAAAAATCTTATTCAGTGATATCAGAAGAGCAAAGTGTATTGCCAATGTGTCATATTTCCAACATAATGAGAATAGTTCAGTGAAAAACATGTCAATTCTATGCCATCTCTCTTAAACACAAAGAGTGCGTGCAACATTTAGAAAAAATACCCCCCTCAAATGTCACTTCATCACTGAATACCTTGCCATTAAGCTAATAGATATTTATAAAGGACTTCACTTACAATGCTCTGTGTTAAGAACTGTAAAGAACATCATATTAGTTAAAATATTGCTTCCTTCTAGAGAAAAAGTAAAGGGTTTCAGAAAGGGAGACACTCAGTTGAGATTTCAAGTGGTGAATAAGAACTTATCAAAAAAGAAGGGCACTTGGAACAGAAGGAATAGGATGTAAGACGTCACTGCTAATGGGAAGTACGTTATGTAAGGAATGTGGTATGCAAGTAAAATCTTTTCATCAACATGTAATTAGCATATTCACAAAAAATGATCTATATGTCCTAGGAATTTTGGGAGTAATCAAAGAATTATAGGAAATCATCTGTCTAAAAAGACAAGAATTAAAAATTTCCTTCCCTCAAGAGAAGTGTTAGTAGGAGTTAGGATTACCAAATTAATAAATAATTTTATTTATTTATCAGAACAGACTGAAAATTATCTGATTTGGGTATTTATATGAAAAGAAAGTGCAGAGGATGGCCTATCAGGATTTCCAGGGTCATTATGATCACGGTATTGTTATAAAAAGTTGTCATCTTTCCGTTTAAAAATACTTTGGTGATTTTACAATTGAACTTAACTTTGAACAAATACAGAACTTGATGTTTTTAAGTTGAACTCAGTGGTTCTTTAAACTATAGATAATGGAGTTTGGACACAGTCCCCAAAGTAGGCAGAGGCACTAAGGAGGTTAGATCAGGGAGTAATTTGATTAGATATGTTTTCAGAGAGAGCTTTCTAGCAGCCTGTGAAGGATGGATTAGAGAGTGGAGGACGATAGGAAGGGAGACTGGAGGCAAAAGATCAGTTAAAGAATATCATAACAGACAAGACAGAGAGGACAGGGACCTGAATTAAGGCCATGGCAAGAGCAACGGATCACAGGGGTCAGTGAAGATAGAGAGTTAAGAGAAGAAAAAGAAAGGCTGCTTTTTACTATGACTGGAAGTAAGAAAATATATATTACAATCCAGTGTGCACATATAAAGGTTTTCCCAAACAACACTTTATTACAAGTGATGCCTTCTAATATTTTCACACCAGCTCCATGCTATGGTATTTTTTGAATGTTGATTGCAATCTAATACATTGATTTCATATGGTAGTAGATGAAGAAAATGAATTCAGATTTGGCTAGTGAGATTAAAGTGGCAGAGGGACATCAGCATGAAGCTTTTTGTGAGTAGCTAGATTTATGAGTGTGGAGTTCTGGAATGGGGGCTAGATCAGGAATGGAAGCCATGGACATGGATGAACTTATCCAGGTGTGTGCAAGAGAGAGAGTAGACCAAGCTTTCACCAGGGAACACATGCATTTGAAGTATTAATGGTAGAAAAGGAGTCCTTGAAGAAGCAAGTGAAAGAACCATCTAAGAGATAGGGGTAACCAGGGAGCTCTGATCGTGTAGTGGTTACAAGTTGGACTGCTAACCTCACGGTCATCAGTTCAAAACTACTAGCCATTCCATGGGAGAAAGATGAAGCTTTCTGCTCCCATAAAGAATTACAGCCTCAGAAACCCTATGCCGGTTGCTCTGAGTCAGAACTGACTGTACAGCACACTAACATCGACACCAAGAGTGAGTGAGAAAGTGAAGAAAGGAAGATGCTTTAGGAATAATTAACATGACCAAAAGGCATAGTGGTCAAGCATGTTAAGGACTGAGAAGTGTCCAAAGTTAGGAAATGCAGAATGCTTTCAGTACTTATAGATATTATTTCTGTAGAGATAACCAACCCATGATAGATTCAGTTCAGTTTAATAAATACTGAGGGTTATGCAAGACCCATGCTCATGGACTCAAAATCTTTCCCAAAGTAGCATTTCAGGCTACTACTGATAGTCAACAAAATTGGAACAAAATGATGTTACAAATTCTGAATTTTCTATTAGCTAACACCTATACTTTGTTGCTGTTGTTATTAGGTGCTGTCGAGTCTGTTCTGACTCACAACAACACTGTGTAGGATTTACGGGGCTGAATCTATGGGAGCAGAAAGCCTCATCTTTCTCCCATGAAGCAGCTGGTGGATTTGAACTGCTTATCTTTTGATTAGTAGTTCAATGCTTATCCTACAAGAGCCACCAGTGTGCCTTAATAATTCCCATACTTGTTGGTGTTAAGTGCCACGGAGTTGGTTCCAACTCATAGTGAGCCTATGTAGGGTTTTCATTTCATGGCTGGTAGGTTTGAACTGCCAACCTTGTGGTTAGCAGTCCAGTGCTTATCCTATAGCATCACACCAGGACTCACAAGCATGTAAATATGTACCTGGAGATGATCTGGGAACCACTCAGATCCAACAAAGAGAGTTAAGGCATGGTCTGAATGCAAGGTTAGGATATGAATGTAGTTGTCATACCCCAAACACAGCAATCTATTACATTGCCTGTAATGTGTCTTAAGAAAAACATAATATTTAATGAAAAAAGAGATGGAATGAAAACTACGAATAAGAATTTGTTAAAGTCTTGTGCCCTGTTTAAGGAAAATGTAGCCAGACCAGATAATGTGGAAAATGGTTATACATTAATGTATAGGCATTCTAATTTATTGGGATGAAGTTAGGTTCTCATGTAAATTCTAGTTAAGCAAGCCATGTTGGAGTTTGTAGCTTGTAGTTCTGAAAATAATTTTTTGTGCTTTACGTACAAGACTGCCTTCCATCTTCACACTTCTTAACCTTTAAATATGTTTTGTTTCTTCTCATTTGAATCAATTCTTCACATTTCATTCTAATCCAAAGAAGTCCTGAATCAATATTGCAATCAAAATAAGCAATTTTGAAATGCAGCATCCATTGGGGGATCTAGTGGGGTCCACTTCATCCACAATTACCTTCAGTCTTCCACGTACTGCTCAATTGCACACACCTACCTCACTCACTTTTTAGAGCCAGTAGTTTGGAAAGAAGAGTTTAAGTAGATATGCAGCAGAACAAAACTTGTCTGCAGGTATTTTTTAAAAGAGAAGGAAGGAATTTGTGATCAAACAGTGGCATCCTGGGGAGTGGACTTAGCCCCACGTAGAGATAGTTTCACTGTCTGACTGAGTCTCCGTTCACTGTGAGTTGACCTGTTTTGATGGCCTTGATCAGCAGATTTTAAGTTTTAAAATGTTCAACTTTTGTTTGACTACATTGATTGCTTATTTGTATTGATGAGGCTCATGCCTTCCAATGCGAGGACTAAAGCCTACGGAGATTGTGCATCTCTCAATTCAATATTTATTGATTCCTACAATATGCCAGGCACTGTCCTGTATAAGCAATGAATGCATTAAAATCTCTTCTTAATAATCCCTGTTAAATTGAACAGAATTCTTTAGAACACTTATGCTCCTTGGGAATTGATTATGAGATGACTTATTCCTCAAAGAGGATATAAAATGATGTATTATATGTGATATGAGCTCAACTTGGTGAATGTATATACATCTATAAGCAAGAAAAAAGAAAAGAAATTTTCTAATATGAGTTTGAATTTATGCCTGCTTATGGAAATTAAATATCTTCCATTGCAGCCATTCCTGAGATAGTTTCCAAATTTGGAATTAGAGGGATTAGAGAATTTAGTAGATTATCCTTTTTGCTCAATCAATAGTAATTTTTTAAAGGCATCCTAACTTAATACTGAGGTGGCTTGTGAGTTGCTGTGATTCTGGAAGCTATGCCAACAGTATTTTAAATACCAGCAGGGTCACCCATGGTGGACAGGTTTCAGATGAACTTCTAGATGAAGACAGACTAGGAAGAAGGAGTGATGAACTACTTCCGAACATTTAGTCATTGAAAACCTTATGAATAGCAGAGAAACACTGTCAGATATAGTGCCGGAAAATGAGCCCCTCAGGTTGGAAGGCACTCAAAATGAGACTGGGGAAGAGCTGCCTCCTCTAAGTAGAGTTGACCGTGATGATGCGAATGGAATAAAGCCTGTGTGAGTAAAGCCCACAGGACCTTGATTTGCTGATGGGGCACAACTCAAAATGAAGAGAAACAGTTGTAAATTGGCCAAGTGGCAGCATCAATGGGCTCAAACGTGGCAATAGTGAGGCTGGCCCAGGATTGGGCAGTGTTTCGTTTTGCTGTGCAAAAGGTCGCTATGGGTCAGTACTGACTTGATGGCCCTAACAACAACAAATTCAATAGAAACAAATGCACACATACACAAACCCCATCAATGTGTTACGTAATGTTTGTACATTTCCCCCTAATTCTTTGTTTTTTCCCCTCTGTAGTATAATTTTTTTTAAAAGTTTTCATTGTGAATTATGTGTTAGTTTACATGGGAGAACATTATCTTAACATTCATCCTATCGTATTTCATTTCATTGCAATGATTACAATCCTCTGCACGCATCATCAAACACCCAAAGGGTACACCCCGCATGCCTGCCATCCTGCCGCCAGCACACAGCCCCTCTCCCTCCATGAGTCCAGAGTCCCCAGCTGCTCCTTCTCTCCACGTCGTCTCTGCCTCCATACCTGGTGTCACTGCTTCCCCAGACAGTGTCCTGCACTTTGCTTTTTCTCCCTTGATGGTTCCAGAGATCTTCCCCTAATTCTTTAAGGTTTCATACATCTGCATGAATGAAATTCATAGGAGATGGAGTTATTGTTAAGTGTGTGTAGTTGCTTCCAAAGGAGCTCTGGTAGCATAGTGGTTATGAATTGGGCTGCAAACCGCAAGGTCAGCAGTTCGAAACTACCAGCTGTTCCATGGGAGAAAGATGAGGCTTTCTGCTCCTGTAAAGATTTACAGCCTCAGAAACCCTGTATAGGGTCGCTATGAGTCAGAACCGACTCCATGACAAATAGCAACAACAACAGTTGGTTCCAATGCAAAGTGTCCCTGTATGGAGTGTCTGAAGCTGTAAATCTTCACTGGGCTAAAAGCCTCATCTTTCTCCTGCAGAGTAGTTGGTGGGCTTGAACTGTTGATCTAGTGATTAGCTTGTAATTAGCAGTCCAGTGCTTATCCTACCGCATCACCAGGGCTTCTTAAGGAAGGGGAAGGTTTAATAAATAAACTAAGTAGCGTACTTGTCTATAAAGTCTTCTTCGGATCTCCCACTCAGTGCAAAGTTTTACAGACTTCATTCTTCACATGAAACACCTTGTCATCTGTGAATAACCCTGGCTCTCCACATTGCCATTGGCCTTATCTTTTCCTTAGAACTAACCTCAGGAAGGGTAGCCTACATGTTTGAAAATGGAGAAACAACTCCAAGTGCTCTGTTTCCTATCCCACCCTCTCTTCTACCTCCAAAGGATCCCCAAGATGCCATTCCCAGAGGGACCATGCTGGCTATTTTCATCACCACCGTTGCCTACATAGGAGTGGCCATTTGTGTAGGTAAGTTACACGTGGTTTGAGATGTCTGAATGGCAGGAGGTTCAGTTCTTCCTTCCCTGTGGTCTTTCAATGGAACATAGGAGAGTTTTTTGTGTTTGTTTTAAAGGCAACTCTATAAGTTCTTTTTTTGGTACCTTAATTTATGGTTCATAGATTCTAAAGACCTGGTGTGGCACTGTAGGATAAGAACTGGAGCGCAAAGTTGGTTTGAACAGCAAAGGTTGGCAGTTCAGACTCACCAGTGGCTCCTCAGAAACTCTGTATACGGTCTCTATGAGTCTGAACTGATTCGACAGCACTTAACAGCAACAACAACATACCCTAGAGAGGTTCACTGGTGGCATTGTGGGTTATGCGTTGGGCTGCTAACCACAAAGTCAGCAGTTCAAATTCACCAGCTGCGACCAGAGAATGATTTAGTCTCGCAAACCTTCACATGGTCACTGTGAGTCAGAATCTACTTGATGTCAGTTAGTATACTCTAGAGAGGAGCGCTGGAGGCGCTGGAGGCTAAGCATTGGGCTTTAGCCACAAGATCAGCAGTTCAAACCTACCAGTCACCCCACAGGAGAAAGATGAGGGTTTCTGCTCCTGTAAAGATTCACAACCTCAGAAACCCTTTGCACAGCCCCTATGAGTCAGAATCAACTCAGTGGTAGCTAACAACAACAACAACCTACTCTAGAGCAGGGGTGGGGAGTGTCCGGTCCTCAGGCTATAGAAGGCCCATGAAATCATGGGGTCTGGCCCTGCCAAGGCAACCACAGTTTCAGTCATCACATTGTTGTTGTTAAGTGCCATTGAGTCAATTCCGACCCATAGCGACTCTGTATAGGGTTTCTGAGGAGCAGCTGGTGAGCTTGAACCACCAACCTTGCAGTTCAAACAACTTTGCAGTCTGATTCATTAGCCCACAGCACCACACCAGGACTAGGGATGAATTAATTAAATGTTTAACCAAATATGTTGTTGTTGTTAAGTGCCATCGAGTCAGGTCCGACCCATAGCGACCCTGTACAGGGTTTCCAAGGGTGTAAATCTTTACGGGAGTAGAAAGCCTCATCTTTCTCCCGCGGAGTGGCTGGTAGTTTCGAACCGCTGACCTTAAGGTTCGCAGCCCGATTCGTAACCACTACGCTACCAGAGCTTAGCAGGCTAATTTTCTTTTTTTTTTTAAATTGGCTCTAATGACTCTTTTTTTTTTTTTTTTTTGGTCATTCAACAGTATTTGCTTCTATTTCCTATGTTGTTGTTGTTTTGGGGGGTTTTACACAAAAACACTCAGGAATATATAATCATTTAAACAACCAAAGGGTACATTCTGCAAATTGGCCTCCTGGCTACCAGCACACAGCCTTTCTCTTTCCATAAATCCAGAGTCCTCAGCTGCTCTATCTCTTCATGTCCTCATCTTTGCTACCTGGTCCAGCAGTGAACAGTGTCTTCTCAGTTATAGTAATAAAAGTCCTGTTGATTCACTTTTATTTTTTTAAAGTTTTTATTGTGAATTGAGTAATAGTTTACATGGGAGAACATCGGTTTTACACCCATCGTTTCATTGCAATGATTACAATCTGTGCATCATCACTCATCAGTATTTTTGCTTCTATTCCCTCTGGTTTTTGTTTTTTTTGTTTTTTTGGGGGGTATGTACACAAAAGCACTCAGGAATATATAATCATTTAAGCAACCAAAGGGCACATTCTGCAAGCCTGCATCCTGACTGCCAGCACCTGGCCACCAGCACATAGCCTTTCTCTTTCCATGAGTCTAGAGTCTTCAGCTGCTGTTTCTCTCCATGCCCTCATTTCTGCCTCCATCTCTTGTGCTGCTGCTTCTCTGGAAAGGGTCCCACATTCTGCTTATGCCCTTCTTCCTTGATGGTTCTAGGGTTCTCTGTTCCTGAGTTCAGATTAACTACTCCTCCCTTTTTGTTACAAAACGTCTACCTTTACAGTCATGACTGTAGCAATTAGTCATAATAATAATAATTCACTATTGAATTGTAAGAATCTTATCCCCATCTCCTTTCACCAGACCCAGTCTAGACAAGATGAAAACTATTCAGTGGGGATTCTACCTTCTC